AAMMYTTWTTTCAATTGCGTGACAACACAGCGTAGGAGAATATCMAACGGCTCGCGTGGCTTGTAATAATTGCAGGAGATAGAGAGAGCACGGCCGTAAACAGTTCTTCCATAGTASTGTGTATAATTTATTTTTTGTCCGKGATTCCTGTGGAAGMSCRAGTTGAGGATTGGCTTTCATTTTCAACCTCGCACTGCCATGCACGCGCAGTATGTTTAAARTTRTAAGTCACACATGGTACTTGTTTATTAAGGTTTAAGTGGTAACTGGATAGAAATCGCTTATGGCACTAGTTCTGGTACTGTTCGGGTGATTGTCCAACACCCAGAGACTGTCGGACACGGCCCACAGTTGTTCCAAACGTTCACCGTTCACCGCAGTCCCGTAGTACGCGTTATGTTGAGTGAGAAGCACCTGGTGTCAGTCTGTGCGGAGTATAATCACGTGCGTACTTGGAACGTCACACGCTTTAGAGGAATGATTTCCACACAGCCAGGGTCTACACCGCTGGCTTCATTTAACGTGGTCTCGCTGGAAGAGACTGAAACYCACCCTAGCTATTCTGCAGGAAACTCACTAGGTACGTGAATTATACTAGAGAACCCTTTTTATTAGTGGAAAATTGACTGTATACTGTGACGTGATGAAATCTAAAGTGGAATCCCTGCTTTATGCGCCCGGGTTTTTTCTTATTGGCACACTCTTGACGTCATAAATGTTCAAAACTCAAGTGGGTCACTGCAAAGTTTTGAACATTTTAWGACGTCAAGAGTAATAAAAATAAGAGGACATGCAACGAAAACCTGTCTGCAAGCGAAAATCACTCTTTTGTTTCAACTGAGCGCGCACGAGACTTGATGGTGCCATAATKGTGGAAACTAGCGGTAARCTAGTGTGAGCTGCGTCGTTGTTTCTAAGGAAACAGTTGTGTAAAAAGATAAATCTACAGCAGAAACCGTTGTATCGCGACTTCGTTGTTCAAAGGAAATCGTTTGGATTTAGGTTTTTCTGCGACTTGAGGGCGGAGCTTGATACAAATCAGCCAATGATTGAACGAGTTTTCGAAAAGCTCCGACCCTTAGATTGGAGGAAAGAACAAAACCCAGACAAACTTCGAAACAAAGAAGTCGCGATGCAACGATTTTCGCTGTAACACCGTAAAAAAGTATCTGTAATTTGTAATGCTTTAGGTCCGTTTGGTGATCGTGATGATCAACAAGTGTTTGTCCAAAAAATCGTCCCTGATACAAATGAAGTCCATGTAAGACTTTCGTCCACTGGAAAAAGGTAATAGACTTTATATTGAATTATTATTGCTAGTGTTGTTTTGTTTTAGGTATTGTGTGTAATCGCAATATAATGGTGTTCACGTTGGTTGCTATTGTTGTCGATATTGTAGCCATTGTGTTTATCGACAGGATATGTACAATACGTTCAGTTGATGGAAGTCACATTAGTTGCTTTTGATAGCTAGTGTTGGTGTTGTTGTTGTCGTAGTTGTAACCATTTGTGTTTATCGACAGGATATGTACAACACGTTCAGTTGATGAAAGTCACATCAGTTGCTTTTGATAGCTAGTGTTGGTGTTGTTGTTGTCCTATAGTTGTAACCATTTGTGTTTATCGACAGGATATGTACAACACGTTCAGTTGATGAAAGTCACATCAGTTGCTTTTGATAGCTAGTGTTGGTGTTGTTGTTGTCCTATAGTTGTAACCATTTGTGTTTATCGACAGGATATGTACAACACGTTCAGTTGATGAAAGTCACATCAGTTGCTTTTGATAGCTAGTGTTGGTGTTGTTGTTATTGTCGTAGTTGTAACCATTTGTGTTTATTGACAGGATATGTACAATACGTTCAGTTGATGGAAGTCACATTAGTTGTTATTGCGTACACGAGTGCGATGGTTCAAGTCGGATAGGTTCTCGTCCACGACGTTATCTCATCACAGGCCATGATAACGGAAGTATTCAGGTATGAACTCAGTATACAGTCTACACGATTGAATTACACTGGAACCCGCCCTACGGGCATCCGCTTAATATACGGTATGCAAGATTTTTATGTCGCGTGGGATTAAACAGTCATACTTTTCCACTTGTTTTGCAGATGTGGGATTTGACAACAGCCCTCGAGCAAGCTGGTACAATTCCAGGTATAAATGATTTTCATTAATGGGTCACGTTGGTTGCTATTATTTTCTGTTTTCTTATTGTATTTTATTCATAAATATATTCATTGTTTTAAGGTTACGTCACAGCGGCCATCTTGGAGGAACTTCAACAAAGGATTTCTCATTAGAATCTATTGCTCATTCCTCCAATATGGCCGCCGGTCTTTTATCTTTATGAATCTTATGGAAATGGTTGAAAACAATCAATTGAATAATATATAATGATTCATGATTCCGTGGCTCGCGGCATGAAAACTAGTCCGTATTTTAACACAATGATATATTTAGATCACAGCTTGGGCCCTACAGAAGGAGAACTAATGAAAACTTTAGAACAATGTGATCTGAGTGCATCAAGATGTACCACTCCGTCGCTCTCACCCGCCTCATCCTTACTGCAAACAAACCTACAGGGATCACGCATCAAACTATCTCTATCTTGTCCCAGCTTGACGGAGGAAGAKGCTGTGGAGCCTGGACCAAGCCGAAGACCTTCGCGCCATAAACGTGTAATGATTTCTCAATGCTAATATTTTGTTTTCTTTTTGGCATACATGCGCAGGCGCTGGCCAAAARTATTGCGTGCTCAGTTTTTATGAGCCGTTATTGACTATGATTCTACAAATGAAAGCATTAAAGCTGGGATTCAATGTTATTAGATGTAAATAATTTGGTATTTTTATCGCGATCGTGTATTACGGAGACTAATCAATTAAGGTCGTACCCCGTGAAATCGAGTCTGTATCCTATCTTTATAGATAGATAGTCGGATAAATGGTCGATTTGTCCGTATTATTATTATCTGTACACTTATAGATGGTTGTAATCAATCAATATCGATGTCGGAGGAAGAACGGAGATTGTCGAAGAAAGGTTGCGTTACCGAAAGGGAATATGGTTATGTACGAAAATGGAAACTGTTTACGCCACATTAAACATCCTGCACTATAAAAGTTTTTTTTTTATCATAAATTAGCAAAACACATGGCTCCTTTCGGTCGTGCAATCAGTTCTACATTAGAGCTCTRAGGTTTTTACGTCACCTACTTAATTTGCAATGAATTGTGGGATCGGTCTCTGGAGAAAACAAAAGAGATACGCCATGTTTTGTCTCAAACTTATCCTGCAATGCATTGCATATGACGTAAAAGCTTCAGAGGTCTATTAATCCTAGCCTGCGTTACGTCACATACGTACAAACGTCGTTTATCCTAATGTAACGCAGGATAATTAAGCCATTCGTCATTTTATCCGACAACCTTTTTTTGAAATAGACACAAGAATAGACACAATTATATTTGATAAAAAAAAAAACACTTTTCAGAAGGGTCTTTCCAGTTGTAATTTAGAAAGTACCATATCTCGAAACTTTCTGAATAAAAATATACATTTTCCGCAATTTCTCAGTGTTTCACGGTACTCTGTCTGTTCTTGATGTACTTTGTAAAATGCTTGTCATTGTCTTCATCACTGCGTGAAAAGATTTGGAACTAAGCTAGTTCGTTTACGGATCTCAACTTTTTCTTACACAAAGTGCTCAGACGTATAAATTAATTTGTTTTCATATATAATGATATGATAAATAGAATATGACGTGGTCGCTTGGAGATACAAAATTTCAACACTCATGTAGTATCCTCTATACATCACACAATACAATTTAGCAATATTCATWAGAATTAATCAAGATTTTTTTATCGTTTTAGTGTTTGCTCGTTGTTTAAAAGTAGTCAATAATTTATTAACCAAAGTCTTATAAAAATACTAAACATGTTGTGTTCTTATCTCTGCGTAGAGCGATGAGTTGCCTCAAAGTAACAGCCTTCAAGACAAATAAATAACGCACAAAATCTTTAAACCTCCTGTAAGTTTATGAAACATAACGATCTTCATTTAATTACAATAACCATGTAAAAAGTATAACAATTGTAACTTCAATAAACTTGACATTCAAAGGRTGAATATAGGCAATGCGCAGCGGCGCCATTTTGTGCCACAAGCATGATGGGAGTTGTAGTCCTCGCACTTTTGCCCTAAAGAAAACGGAAACGAAGCTATTCGGGATATTTTTTATAGGCTATTAAATGCAACTCCCACCAGGCTTTGTCGTACAAAATTGGTGTCGCTGCACATTCAGTTGTAGCCTGCGTACATCTGGTTTATTTTCAAAATTAACCGTGTTTACGTTTTTTTTATCTCTGGATGAACTCAGGCTAGTTCAGTTGACAATTGCCTCTCGTTAAACGGAATTCCAATATGGCTGTCCTAGCTAGCTGACCGACATATTATTAATCAAAATAATATTTGAAGAAAAAGCTAGGATTTAAAATAACTTTATTTTGAATTTATTAAAAAGTCTTGGCTCTAAACACTGCAATTTTTTGGTAGACGAAACAGGTAAAAGTAAAATCGACGCAAGTGAGGAATTGTTTAAAAACAATCGAATCCGTACAAAGTTTATAAAGTTTCTTATAGCTCTTTTAGTTTGCTATTGGATTTTCGCTAAAATGTATAAACTTTTGATAACCTAAGGGTGACCATATTGGCATTAAATCTATTAAACAGAAGTAATAATCTTAATTATTAATCTAGGATCAACATTTTTAATGTAATAAAAGATTCCTTAGTTTCCTTCGCAGCGTCCCYTTTGTTTGGGTTCCTGTCCCGGGCCCCGTCGAAATGGGTGGCTGCGACGGAAGGCTAAACTTTCTTAAGCTGATTGCATTGAACACCAATCTCGTACCCCGAGCCTTCGTTCTTTTGGCAAGCGCCGAAACCGTAAGACTCTGGGGAATTTTAGCCTGCGTGCAGACGAACCAAAACTTGTTGTCAAGTTTTGGTTCGGCTGCACGCAGGCTAGGGAATTTGAATTTTCTGCGAATTTTGATTTGCTCTTGAAATGAAAACAAATACCGCCGGAAGTGAAATTAAACCAAGGACAACATTCAAATTCATTTTTTATCTCAATATATTGCTTTAGATTATTATTATTAATATATTGCTTTAGTCTGTTAAGTAAGAAATTTTTGATGAACAAACTCAACCAATGCATCAACCAAATTACAGTTATATCTAGCCGCGACGAACTGTCGCCAACTGACTAATGAAGTGAGMCGTCGCGATTGGAAAACATTCAAATATTTCTATGATCAGATAATCTATCCGAATTTACTTTGTTGAAGGAAGATAMAGTATTTGGGATCTTGTACGTGTCTGTTTTGACTTTATTTAAGGCAATTTTCTCGAGGAAATTCGATCGAAAGCCATTTGGATAACGAGTTATGTTAATGTAGCCTGCGTGCAGGTGTTCCTCGTTGGGGGCGGAGCGAAGAAACGGAGAAACGGTTCCCTTCCRTTTCTTCGCTCCGCCCCCAACGAGGAACGCCTGCACGCAGGCTATGCGCAATGGAAACCGGACGACAGAAATCCGTAGTAAAAATTCCGGGCTCCAGAGTCTTATGTTTGTCGACSWCGCTGGACTAGAAAAACGAAGGTTCGGGGTACGATGCATTGAATATAATCAACACTGTGCACTACAGCTTGTAACAGACATGCAGCGGCGCCATTTTCTGCAGCATAGCATGATGGATGTTATAGTCCTTGCACTAAAACAGTCCTCCTGGGCCGTTTTTGCTTTTT